AAGAGTACAATCAAAAAGTTACACAGATTCCTTCTGCATCACATGAAAGACATCTCACTGCCTCAGGCTCACTCAGCTGTCCAAACAACCATATAATGAATGACTTGATCTGCTACTGAAACATCTTTCCAACCTGGACTGGATTAGAACGGGGGGGAAAAACAATGTCACAGTAACCATGGGACATTCTGTGTGTTTTGAAACACATTTTATTTGAGCTGGCTGTGCATAGGAAAGGGACCAGTTTCAGAGGACCTACTAAAGCTGGACCTAAAGCATTAGTGCATTAAAAATAAGAATTGTACCTTCTTGTCAGGAATGTTATTTCTTAGAAACTGTTTTCCACGGGTTATGATTGAGGTCTGGAACTTCCCTAAGCCTCACCTGACTGCACAGCCGTCATATATTGTGTAATACAAAAGGCATGTGCTTAAACGTTAGGGAAAATATACAATAGGTACAGGAGGAGGACTATGTAAAACGTACATATAAATACATAAAGAAAGACGCTCCAGTTGAGAAGTAGAATTAGGTATTGCCGACGTCGATTTCAGGTTAAGAATCTAGGACCTTAAATCAGAAGTAATCATATGGTATATCAAGGGGAAAGAAAAGGTGGTCTTGAAACAAGCTGGCTCTAGCTCCCGATGAAGGCTCGGGATTGTCGGGGGCCACACTACAGGGATATCAGTGGACAGCCCTGCTCTCTGGCTCTCAGAGTTCTGAAATCTTGGTCTCAGGTCCCACCAGCAGCATTTTGTTCCACGACTTGTCTTCACATTCTGGTCTTGCAAATATACAATAGTAACCAATGTCTTAGGACTCTGCCAGCTCTCTCTCTGGCTTCTGTGGGTCCTCTTCTGTCTGGAGCTTCAGCTCCTTGTTTGACTCACTGGGCATTTTTCCTTCCTGAACTCCTGTTTCCTGCACATCTGTTAGCTTTGGTCCATTGGTATCTGGAGACTCTTTGGTTAGAATTCCCAAGGCAGCTTGTCAGCACGTGCCAGGCTGAAAAGCCCCAGCAGCTAATGGAGCAGGCCATGGCCCCTGCCTCAGCCGAAACCTTGACAGACAGTGAGACAAATGGAAGCACCCGTGTAGCAGATCCAGAAGCCGGAGGCCCAACACAGCAAGACGAGGCCATGGAAAGCTGGGAAGATAATGCTGTTGCAACATGTATGCAGTCACAGGTAGCAGAGGCAGCTCTTACCCAGAAAGAGGAACCCCCGGCACCTCCTAGTTTTCAATCCCAGGAGGGAAATAAAGAACAACCTAGAACAGAAGATGCTCTAGAACCCACACAAGAACTTTCCATGGAAGCTGTACTAGTTCTGTCAAAGACTAAGGTGGTTCACGAGGCTAGCCAGTTTGCTGATGAAAAAGCTGAAGACGGACTGTGTGTTGAAGGATTCGAGGTGTCTGCACACAGCACAGACGGATGCGACAGTCAGGAAAAGATTGCCGAAGTGAACTTCGATGGGAAAGTGACTGATGGGGCAGGTGGTCAGAAAAGTGAGAGTCTGACCCCAGAGGAGAGAAAGGTGGAAACTGATGTTGTGTTTTTTTAAGACTTACAAAGTCCAAGAATTGTATGCAGATTAGGTGGAGGAGGCGATGTATACCTGCCTGTGTTTTTTGTGAGAGCCCTTTTTCCTCTATAATTCTGAAATTGTTTCTCCTGTAGATCCTGCTTAGATGTCCTGTTATTTTCTTTGTTTTTTAGTCAAAAGTGCTGATCATGTTTCTCTCCTTTATAAACAAATGTATTTCTTTAAATTCTTTCTTCGAGGAATATTATTTAAAGTTAAAGCGTATATTTAAATATTTTTAATTTTTTCTAATAAATAGCATTCAAAATATCTGTTGGCTTGCCATAATTTTGGTATTCCCCAATGCAGTCTGAATTTATATAATATGTACATTTTATATGTGTGATTCTTTTTTTATAGATTATGTTTAATGAAGAGCTTGGGAATCCTTTTATTATAATTCACAGTATCTCGTTGCTAACAGCTGAAGAACATTCAGTAGCTATCCTTCTTCTTCGAATAGAGAAGGAGGAACTGGAGATGAAAGGAAGTGGTTTCTTTGTTTCTTTGGAGTGGATCACTGTCAGTAAGAATGAAGGTACAGTAAAACAAATGTCCGAACCTCTAGTGCCTGCCATCATTTAGTACGTCTTGAAATGTAAAGCTGTAAATATTTGGGCTTGCTTTTCTTAGGCATCTTGGTAGATTGTGTTACGGACAAAACTCACATGTGCTTCCATAGCCAACTGTGCTTTTTGTTTGGAAGGAGACATTACATGAATTTTGAAGACTTTAACGTGGATCTTTTTAATACAGCTAACAATAAGGATAAATATATATAAAACTAGACCTATTGTGGCACATGCCTTTAATCCCAGCACACAGGGGGCAGAGGCAAGTAGATCTCTGAGTTTGAGGGCAGCCTAGTCTACACAATACGTTCTAGGTCAGCAGGACTACATAGTGAGACCCTGTCTCAAACAAAACAAACAAAAAAAACCCTAGATGTACATAGCTGTCATATGACTTTCCTTATGAAAATATGTCTGCCATACTGAACAGACCTCAGAAACCACTCCAACGAAATACAGCATAGTGAACCAGCAAGCTGATTTGGGTTACTTATAGGTGCATAAGTAGTGGGTCACTAACAGGAATATGAATGCCTCAAAGGCAGCTACATCATGGAACACCCCCCCCCCCCACACACACACACATACACACAGGTAACAGACAACTGCATTCCTGGAGCTCTCTGCCCAGCTTTCAGCATGCCTCTGGGAATCTCCTCTCCCTAGTTGGTGTTTCTGCTTATGCAAACTGGGGAGGGACCTTGTGAGTCTTATAACTTTCAAGAACTTCCTGAATCTTGTAAGTTTCATTCAGTTCCTTAATCTGTGACCCTCCCCTTTCTGCCCAAGAGGAAATGTTTCAGTTTACAGGAGGTAGTTATACAATAGTGGTAAATTTTAATGTAATTTAAATATAAGTAAAAACATGAAAACAGAGTGAATGTCTTTATTCCATTCAACTTTGCCTTTTGCTTCTGTCACCTTTTTTTGACTCAGGGTCTCACTATGTAGCTGGAACTCGCTATGTGGACCAGGCTGGCCCCAAACTCATAGTGATCTGCTTGCCTCTGCCTGCAGAGTGCTGGGATTAAAGGTACGTGCCATCACATACCTTTAACTTTCTTAAAACAATTTTTATTTGCTTATCTAAAAGAGTTTTAAACTTTGTTCTGTTTGAACCTATCTAACTACTAGCTTGACATTAAAAAATTAGTTTTTCATGGTTTAACAAGGTTCCTTAGTGGTGTCAGCCTGCTCTTTGCCTTTGTGTAGTTTTTACTGTCCTACCAAGTGTTCTTTCTCCCTGCCTCTCTCCCTTTCTCTAATTGGTAGCTAAGGGAGATTTTTTTTTCCCCATAATGACTTTGCTCCATTGTTCTTTTGTAGCTTAAATTATTCATCCCTACAGAACAACATTCTTTACCTTATTGCTAATTTACAGTCTAATAGAAAGTATTAATACCCGTTTTCTAAAATGAACACCACCACAACAAATGTCTATCAGCGTTGGTCTCTAGACCCTCTCACATTCAGGTCTAACTGTTTGGAAGAACTTCTGGGTTACTGGCTATATGCAAGACCAACAGATAGCTAGCCTTTAGGGGAAGTGACTTCCAGGTCAGTTCTAGCTCCCATATACTTTTGATTGTTTCTTGACAATTTTAAATATAAAGTCATGCTTAACTCTCATGCTGAAATGGAGATCTTTTTTAAAGATTAAAACCTCATTCGATTCAGTACAATAATGTATAACTATTAATTCAACACTGTGAACCTAAAAATTACAGCCAATTTTGAAAGAGATGCATCTTTGCTCTGGAAACTGTTATTGACTGTGTCAATGATGTTGTAATGAAATACTTCTACTAATTATGTTGTTATTAAATAAATTTAACCCCCAACCTCCCCCCGCCCCAAAACCAGGCATAGATTTGACTTTTCACTCCTGGGCTGTAGTTTGCTGACTGCTACTTAAGAAACAGGGCAGAAATGTTAACTATTTTTTTTTTTAATGTTTCCAAAAACTTTATTGAGAATTTCATACATGCATATAAGGAATTTTGATCAAATCCATGCCCATTCCCTCCCCTCCAACATTTCCTGCTCTGAAGAGGTAACCCTAAAATCTATTAAGGATTAGATACAAGCTCCCAAATACTTTTGACATTTTTGGCCTTGGAACAGAGTATGTTGCCAACAGGCCCAAGGACATTTTGACTTTTAACCAAGGCCTAGCAAATTCCTACCTCCTATTCTTATCACACCATCCTCTGAAGGGGTTACCCAAATTGCCAATAGGGAATAGGGACACAGACTGCTCTGGCTTCTTCCATGCTGAACAGGGATGCAGGGTGAGGCAACTGGAGTACACCTTCAGTGGATCTTTCTAAAAGACTCCCAAATTATATAACTCTTGTCTCTAAGGGAAGAAGAAAGTCCTTGAATCATGAATGGGAGATGTGAAGGTAAGAGTAATTAGCATTACAAGTTCTAGACAGGGAACTAGAAAAAAGTCAGAACAGGGCAATTTTCAAATGTTCATATGAGAGTCCATTGGAGTTTCTTGACAAGGGCTTCCAAAAGCATCCCTCTATTGGATTCTTCCTCATTTTTCTTTTGTCTTCCAAGGCTGGACTAGTTGGCTGGGAAGAGTGGCTGGATACTCAGGTGAGGGTCCCATGACCCTGCTTGGCACTGCTTTAATGAATGAGCACAACCGTCAACAAGCCCAAGTGTGACTGTGTTTAGTGATCAGGCTCAGCCGAAGTCATGATGATGGTAGTTATTTCATGCAGAAGGAGCTGCATCGTCTTATTAAAAAGACCTGGAATTTGAAAGGATTTGGTGCTAGGAGCCACATATGAGGGAGAACATAACGTCATTTGTTTTTCTGAGTCTCTGTTACTTCACTTAGTATAACAGTTTCTGTTTTTAAGGTACATGATTTAGCTTTTTGTAAAAGAAAGAAGCATACATTTTTCTTTCTCCCTGTTTTCAAGAAATTGGGTTGCGTGCCAGCTGTAGGTCATTCCATAGTACCTTATCACATGGCCTCCAGACCTCTGCTGCAGCACTACCCAGCTCTGTCTGACACCTCATCTACTTCACCTTGTCTCCTCCCCTCAATTGGATCGACATATTTAGATTTACCTTTTTTTCCCTCTCCCACAGTTGTAATGAGAATGTGTGGGACCCAGCCATTCTCTTTAGATGTCCACTTCCCATAACGGTTACTAACATAATTGCTCTATTCTTTTGTTTTTTAAATTTTTTTGATTGATTGATCTTTATTTTATGTGAATGAGATTTTGCCTGCATGTATGTAAGTACACCCATGTTGTTCAATGCCTGCAGGCCAGAGGAGGGCTTTGGATCCCCTGGAACTGAAGTTAAGGATGGTTGTTAGCTGCCATATGGGTGCTAGGACTTGAACCCAGGTCTTCTGCAAGAGTAGCTAGTGCTCTTAACTACTGAATTATTATTATTATTATTTTTAATCTTATGTGTGTGCATGTGTTCAAGTGTATGTGTGTATGCAGGTGCATGTGGAGCCAGAGGTTAACGTCAGGTGTCATTCATCAGAAGCAATCCACTTTATTTTTTGAGGCAATGTCTCTCAGTGGTTAGACCTCACCAAGTAGTCTAAGCTGACCTGTGAGCACAAGGGATCCACCTGTTTCTGCCTCTCCAGTGCTGATATTACAAGGCATGTTACCATACTCAGTTGAATTCCAGGGACTAAAGTCAACTTCATGCTTGCAAGGCAAGCACTTTGCTGACTGAGCTATATTACCAGTCTTCTTTTAGTTTAAATTTAATGCAGCAGAACAGTGCTTTTCTAAACTATGTTGAGTAGAACATAGGATAAATTACATTTTGTGGTCAGTTAAGTTTGAAAATGAAGACTGTATCCCCAATACACACTAAGAATGTTGCATTTTCTTGTTTTCTTTTTTTTTTTTTTTTAATGGAAAAGGAACATTTAATCATGAATTCAACTGCTTGACACCTACATGTTATTTTCTGCCCCACACATTGTAGGAAAAGTCATCCTTTAAAATATATAGGCTTGGCTTGGAGCCTTTAAAGACAGGTTGAACTGTTGGCCATGCCATGTTTCTGTGAGAAAAATATAGGCATTTTTAGTTCATGAATTACAAGCTGGTGCTTAACTATATGTGAATTGAATGTGTGAATATAGTCAAAGATTTAGAGTAAAAGTAATCAGAGCAGATTGTATTGTGATCTTTAACTCTTAATAGTGAGTTGATTGTTGATGATGCATTTTTAAGCTTGTAAAAATATAGTCCACTGTAATAGATAACAATATAAATAAAGGTATGAATGCTTCTGAAATGTTTTGAGTTCTTAGAAAACAGACTATCTTCACAAGAATAAATTAACCAAAACTTTAAAATACAGTTCAATTGTTCTTATCTTAAAGGTTATAAGTACTGTTATTTGATTATTGATTATAATAATCACATAAATCTATCTTTGTATATAAAAACCAATTACCGTAGACATTTTCTTTTAAGAAAGCCTCTGATAGTTAAAATCGAGAAAAATGGTCCATGCCACAGTGATTCCCTCATCCTCAGTTTGTGGCTCTTTTCTAGAATGTGCCTGTCATATATCTGCTGTGAAAGTAGACAGGCTGGAGTGAAGGAATGTCAGTCACTTTGAAGACCCAGACTTTCTCTCCAGTAGAAGCTAATGCAAGGTCAAAATGTTTTACATGTACGTCATTTCACTGCGATAGCAATTAGACACATGTAGCCACTGAGCACTTGGTATGTGGCTGATGACTTAGGAAGTGAATTTAAACTTTACCTAATTTTAATTAAGATCCCACTTGTGGCCAGTGACTACTAAACTGGACAGTACAAATTGGAACAAATTTTATCAGACCTGGTATTTTTAAAGTAACAGCATATTTTGAGAAAATTAAGCTGTCAGTTTCTTTTTCTTTAATTTTTGAAAAAAATTATATTTATTTATTTATTTATTTATTTATTTATTTATTCATTTATTTCGAGTGTGTATGCATGTGTGCGTGCCGGTGGACACATGCTCAGGTAGTGTAGAGAGGTGTGGAGGTGATGGAACAGCCTATGGGAATCAGTTTTTTCCTTCTATCATGTGGAGCCCTGGGATCAAACTCAGGTCGCCAGGCTTGGCAGCAAGCACCCTTACTGCAAAGCCATCTTGCTGGCCCTAAGTTGTCGATTTCTTATTTTTAGCAAAAGATTCTTAATGATGTAGCTTTTAAAATTATTTATTCTCTTATAGATAATAAAAAGTATGAAATTGCTAAGCATCATGTTCTCCGTGGAAAGTCAGTGCCCCATTATGCTGCTATCGAGCCCAATGGAAATGGCCTGATGATTGTTTCCTATAAGTCCTTCAAATTTATTCAGGTTGATCAAGATCTTGAAGAAAGTATGGATGAAAGCATATCAGAAAAAACCAAAGGTAATTTTTCTTTTTAGTATGGAGCTCTGCCTTATCGTCCCAGTTTTGGTATGGATTCTGCTAGCGAAGAATAGATGTTTTCTCTTTATTTTCTTTAGTATTTCTTGCCCCTAAAAATAAAAATCTTTTCTGAAAGATACTACCTAAATGATATGAACTGATTTAATTTAGTAATTTTGTAATTATCAAAGATATTTTAAAATTTTGTAATTGACTTACTTGGTCACATATAAAGAATGTCACTTTACTATTACCATCAGAGAAGGCAGGATGATGACAATGCAGATAATCATCTAAAATGAGGTTAAGTTGACATACATATTTGTACCGTTCATATTGAACTGAAATTTCCTTCAGTGTTGGATGAATGAGTCATAGGTTATTCTTTAGAATGAAAAGGCACTGAGGTTTTCTAGAGGAAAAATTTTTTTGTTTTACATTATTTATTTAATAACCGCATGATTAGAAGCATTTCATAAGCTTTAACATATTCAATAACAATTTCCAGAGCAAAGATACATCTCTTTCAAAAGTGGCTGTAAATTTTTAGGTTCATAGTTGAATTAATACAGTTGTACAATTTTGAACTCAGTATAAACCCTATAAGACATAAAATTGAATGAGGTTCTAACTTTCAAAAAAGATCTCCAGTTCATTTTAACATATACTGTTTCCTACAGAAAAACTCATTTTCAATGCTACTAACACTTAGATGTTTGCACATGTGTCTCTAATCTCTATTTATCTGATTATTACTAGTCACAGTCAGTTACACTCAGATCCTTGGCACCTGAGTATGGATATAAAGTCATCAGGTAGATTTTAATGGTAATATTTTTCACCTCTACTAATTAACACGAAGCAAATTTTTATGTTTCTTCCTCAAATATAACTCATTTTTTTTATTTGTTATTTTTTTTTTGTGTGTGTATATCACACAGAACATCCCACAATCTTATTTATCTATATACCCACTTCCCAAATGATACCCTCCCATAGCCTCCCCCCTCCAGAGCCCAATCTCTGTTACTGTCCACTTTGTTGCCAGCACCCCCAGCTGTTCCCCAGTGCTTGTCCATCCTCTGAATCTAGTCAGCCTATCTAGAGATCCTTGTTTGAGGAAGATCAGCTGTTCCTCATCTAGCAGCAGTCAGTTGTCAATATTCCTTTAGATAAGATTGGGGTCTGCTGTTGATTTTCCCATTTCTATGCTGGATTACTGTCTGGGAGTCTCTTGGGTCACCCTGGCCAACAACTCAAAGGAAGGTGTCTCCTCTCTGGCATTGTTTCTTGTTATATAGCCTTTAGCTTTACACAAGGGCTCTTAAAAAAATTGTATCAACCCCTTTATTCTTTGGTTATACTTTCCTTTTGGGTGTTTAAGGCCACACAGTTGGCCCAGATAAAACAATTTATTTTAGAGGAAACATTTGTAAACAATGAATTTTTTTGTTCCTATCAGAGAATAATATATTTAATAGATTTTTATAATATTTTGCAGCTATGTTATTCTTTGCCTCTACTTTTTATTCCAAAATAATTTATTTAAAATAAAATTAACCTCACTGTTTTTGTACACATTTAAAAATGAATTCTTTGAAAGGTTTTTTTGTTGTTGTTGTTGTTTTGGGGTTTTTTTGTTTTTTTTTTTTTTTTTGGCTTTTTTGGGACAGGGTCTCCCTGTTGCCACAGCTGTCCTGGAACTCACTATGTAGACCAGGCTGGCCTCGAACTCACAAAGATCCGCCTGCCTCTGCCTCCCAAGTGCTGGGATTAAAGGCGTGCGCCACCATGCCTCCTGTCTGTTAACAGCTTTGTTGCCTTGCATGTGTGCTTTTTGCTACACTTGAAGACCCTTCCAAATTCTATTAATCTGTCTTACTTCAGAGTTAAACTTTCCTAAAGTCCTTCCAGAAAAGTGTGCACATTATTAGCCCACGTGCCGTTTAGAACTCACTCACTGAGCAGTTGTGAAGAGTGGAGCGAATGAGAACTTTGGTCATTGGATCCTCTTACTTGATAACTGAGACTGTGTAGTTCTAGGACAGATGGCAGCCTGGGTAGAACATAGCATGTGTTCATACCGCCACTCGTCCAGCTACCAGTTTTCTTGTTGGCATCTCATGTTACATCTTTAGTTCTTCTGGAATTTGTTATTTGATTGTAGGCTCTTCATAATCATAAAGGAAAGGGGGCATAATTTTTAAAAATTAAGTATATGTCATTGATTATCATTCTTCACATTTCTGAGAATAGACCTGTATTCATTTTCTGTAAACATAAAGAAGAGTGGTGTTATCTATGGGCTAGCTATTAGATATTATCTTGTTTGGTTTGGTTTGGTTGGTGTTTTGAGACACAGTTGTCTCCGTGTAGCCCCAGCTGACCTGAAACTCACTTTGTAGACCAGGCTGGCCTCCATCTCAGAGAGATCCAGTGCTTCTGCCTCCCAAGTGCTGGGATTAAAAGCATGTACTATCCGTGCCCATCTCATTTGGTATTGTCACAGTAATATAATTACTTAGTTTTCTTTAAAAAACATAGACATAACCTATAAAAGCACAGGAAGACACCCAAAAGTACCCACAGTCTGCAGCATTTCAAAGCCATACTACCAGTATGCCTTAATAAAAACCACCTGACTATTAGCATACATTTAAAAACATATTTTTATGTTATGTGTATTGCCTGCTTGTATGTGAGTGCACCTGTATCGTGCAGTGCCGCGGAGGTCAGAAGAAGCCATCTGATTCCCCTGGAACTGGAATTAAGGATGGTTCATAGTCGCCATGTGGTGTTGGGAATCGAACCGGGTCCTCTGCAAGAGCAGTCAGTGCTCTTAACCACTGAGCCATCTCTCCAGCCCTATTAGCATACATTTTAAGGCCAAGACTGGACCCGAACTACTGAGAACCTGTGCTCTCAGACAACAGCTAGCTCTTTATTTTATTGAAAAAGTATATCCAGCATGAAATAGGGAAATAAAATTTGGACCCTTATTAGAGAATTTTGCCCTTTCTGACCCCTAGACCTAGACAAAGACATACACGATCATAAATGGTCATTATCAGTTTCTCTTATTGGTTGCACTGAGATAAGCACTATATGCAGGGCTTGATATATAAATAAGCACAACTTACTTTCATATATTAAGTGGAGGGCAAGAAAGAGTTATGAGGGAGTAAGGCTCTCTGCTTAGCACAAGAGGAGCACAAGCTCATGAACTTGTTTACATTATAGACAGGTACAGTAAGATTAACTCTTGGCTGCAAGGTTAAGTACAAGTCATTTGTTCAGACTATATCCATATTGTAAAAGCCATTCCTACAGCAATCAAGAAGGGTTGTGGTTGTAACACAGTGGTAGAGGGCTTGCCTAGCATGTGTAAGCCCTGGTTTTGATCTTTATCACCATAGAAAACAAGAAAAAAAAGTTAGATGTTAATATACTCACTGTGAGGTGATTAAGAAAGTCTAGCTTTTCTTTAGTCTTATTCCATTACTTTTTCCACACTAAAAGTATAGCAGAAGTTATCCATTGGGTATTATATTGAAGAAACAGGAGACATACTTCGATATTATTTTCAACTAGAGTCTGCTGTGTGTGTGTGTGTGTGTGTGTGTGTGTGTGTGTGTGTGTGTGTGTGTGTGTGTGTAGGTGTAGGTATATAATTAAGGGAGAAGAGGAGTGATACAGGGAGGCAAAAAGGGAAAGAACTAAAATGAAGACTTGCTGTAAGTAGTATTTTATGGGTGTTGATCTGATGTATTAGGTGAGCCTGGAATATGAAAATTTCAAGTGAATTTGTCATAATTCTTTGTGTCAAGATTCTTGAAGTTTGTATGCAATTGTGTGTGTGTGTGTGCGTGTGTGTGTTAATCACTAGAAATATGTCAATTCATTTAGATATGTGTTCTCTTATATGTTTTAGGCTTGTATGTTATGGCCTAATTTTTGTTAAATTGTACAATGCATCTTCCTGTTCCCACTAGAACCTCTATATTACTGGCAACAAACTGAAGACGACTTGATGGTAACAGTACGACTTCCAGAAAATACTACTAAGGAAGACATTCAAATTCAGTTTTTACCTGATAGCATCAACATTATGCTAAAGGATATTCAGATTTTGGAAGGAAAGCTATATTCGTCTATTGATCATGAAAGCAGTACCTGGATAATTAAAGAGAATGAAAGGTATTCCTATAGTTTTACATTTGAAATTTTATATTATTTTAGCTTTTTCTTTTATTTTTTTCTTTCCAGAGTAGCACAGTAGTTTCATCAAAGATTACTATAATAGTTCTCTCTGTATTCCTGATTGCTCAGATAAATTAAAAGCTGTATAAAAGGATATAGCAGGAGAAGTCTCCCTCCAGCCTAGTCACCCATCTTCCCACTCTCCAGTTGCTGTTACTAATTACCTTCCAGAAGAATTGTGTTTATGCCTCTAACATGTTTTTTCTTTTAAGAAAAAAATTTTGCTCTATACATTAATGGTTATACATCTTGGTGTTTTCATTGTCAACAGTAAATCATAGGTAAGTAAATCTTTCCATTAAGAATATGTGGCAATTTTTAATACTTTATTAAGAATTTGTAAACCTTTCCAGAAGTGGTGGCTTTAATGCCTTTAATCTCCCAGCATTTGGGAGGCAGAAGCAGGTGGATCTCTGTGAGTTCCAGACCAGCGGGGGCTACAGGGAGACTCTGTCTAAAAAAAAAAGAAAAACCTTAACTGTTAGCTATACCATCATTTTAAAAAATTAGTCCTGTTATTAGACATTCAAGCTTTTGCTATAGTAAATAATTACATGTGTCATTTTGTAAGCATAGAACTGTATAGGAAGGATAAATTCCTACATGTAGAAGAATTCTTATTCTTTCCGAATGGTGAGAAACAAATTTTACTTCAATATAAATCAGTCGTTTACAATTCTTTTATGTGCTCTTTGTTTGGGACAAAAAAAAAAAAAAAAACTGAAAGAAATGCATGATAAATTAGACTTCATCTAAAAAGTTTTTCTCTTCAAAATTGAAAAGTTACATAGGATAGTGCATGCCTGTAATCCTGAGGTGGTTAGACAGGAGAATTAGGAGTTGAAGGTCAGACTCAGCTATGCCTTGTGACCAATCTGGTGATATGAGATCCTGTCTCAAACTGTTATACTTCAGCCTCAGGACCCCAAAGAGACCAGCGACTGCCTGACACTTCCAAAACTGCAAAAGCAAGGTTTATTGAACAAAAGTACAAACCTCGGTAGGGACCTTAACACAGAGACTGGTGCCCCAGCTCTATGAGAAGGCCCAGTCCATTGTTTGGGCTGGCCTTTTATAGAGGGTCCACCACAGCCTTATGTCATGGTGGGGTGAATGTATGGGGCCGTAGGTGATTGGTTGTTTGTCAGGATATTTTGACCGTTTGTGGTTGGGAGGCGGTTTTGACCGTTTGTGGCAGCTGGTCTCTGGGTATTCCGGGAACTACTCACTCTTACTGGAAAGATTCAACTGGGGTATTTAATAAAATGGAGGTTGATTTTAAAATGGAGTTGCCACAGCTCTTCATTCCCCCCTTAGACTTGTCCCCGAGACCCAATCATGGGTCTTGTTGCAATAACTCATAGCTTGTAGGGGGTTCTGATCTGAGAGGCGTATAAGTCTGCTGCCTCTGGACCATAAGCTGGATGGTTCCTAATCGATCTTTCATAAATTGTACCAGCTTGTTGATGATACATGGCCCAAAAGTCAAGAGTAGAAGTAGGAGGATGAGGGGGCCTAGCAATGTAGAAACAAGGGTGGTGAGCCAGGGAGATTTATCAAACCAGCTCTTGAACCAGCCCTGCGTCTCCTGCCTCTGTCTACGTCTGGTATCCAGCCCCTCCCTGATCTTAGCCATGTTATCTTTTATAATCCCTGAATGGTCTCAGTAGAAGCAGCACTCCTCTCACAAGGCGGCACAGAGGCCCCCTTGCTGAAGGAAGAGGAGGGCCAGCCTCCTCCGGTTCTGCAGGGGTACCTCTGCTAAAGAACTGACAGAATCCTGAAGCTGACTTATAGATTCTTCTAAACACTGGAGGTCAGCGTCTAGGCTGGTGCGCAAGTCAGTGTATTGAGCATTTCCCTTTATGATGGCAGTGGCCTCCATGACTATCCCTGAAGCTATCCCAGTGCTTACTAAAGTTGCAAGAGTCACAGCCGCAACTATGGGAGTTCTTTTAACGCACAGGGGGAACTGCTCTTGCTGTAGATAAAGCTTCATGAACTCTTCATTTGAGTGCTATACCAAGTGAGGGAAAAGGAGGGTGAGCACACAAAAGCTGGTTGTTTTGACAACCTGAGACTGGGCACAGGGTGTCAGCCCAGTAGAGCAGCCCCACCAGGTATTGTCAAGGGGGATGTAATACTCTTGGGTCGAGGCATTAACGGGAAAGGTCTGGTTGCATAGAAAAGAGTATGATTGGGGAACACTTGCTATACAGATCCCTGAGCCTGTAACTCTCTCGAGGGAGAGGTTTGCTTTAGAAGACTATCTGCAGCTTGAATCATTCCGGCTGGTCATATAGTTACCTTGTACCACAACTCCTTCGTAATAGGGAGGAGCCGTGTCATAACACAACCAGCAGGAGACAGCCTTGCTCGGGTGGGTGGCATTTAAAAAGGAGAAGGCCTGATCCAACAGTCCTATCAGGCCATCCCTGCCTGCTCGGGGTTTTACCATGGAGGGACTAACCGCGGAAGTTCCATTTTTGGGCCTGTGAGTGGGCATGGTTGTCCGACCCTTCCCTGTGGTGAGGCCCCCCCAGCTTAGATACTAGGAGAGGGTTTGGACCAATTGCGGTCCCCTGCAGGATTTCCTGCTACTGGAGAGAAAATAAGAACCCTGTATCATATTCAGTTAGCCACAGGCGCAGGCCCCATGGTCTGCTTACCCCCCATCCTCGATCCTGTTTTCCTTTTTCAGTGAACCTAATAAGTAGGGGGTTGCATCTCGTGGGATTACTACCCGAACCAGACGAGCATGGTGTTCCTGACCGGTTCTGCTTGATGGTACTGAGTTCTCCAGGGGTGGTTGTTAACCACCATGCCTCCCTGGTAGTCTTGCATCCCCAGTGCTGGCAATAGTAGTGTTTGGCCTCCCCACATCCAGGTTTAACATGGGGCCCTGGACAGACATAGAAACTTCTAGCCCGTAGATTCCTAACCCCAGATTTGAATTTACAATTATAACCTGCCAGGGAGTCTTCATACCCCAAGGGCTTTCCATCCAGACCTGTGTCATACTTTCCATCTGCTAGGGTACAGAGGTCTACATCAAGCGGGGGCCACCAGGTGTTGGGTGGATGATTCTCAGTCCGGGTTAACGCTGCCTTTCCCGTTTCCATGTTGGCCAATGTCCAGGTCACTTGTACTGGTGCATGGGGACTCAAACTTCCTGTAGGGAGGTGCCCAACCAGCAGCAAACGGGTCAACAGGGAGTGTCCTGCTGAATTTGAAGCTTGAGTGGGTTCAAAGGGTGTCGGGATGCCTTCCAGGTGTCTCCCTTGTAATCTTCTGGAACTGTAAGTGGGTCGACAGGCTTTGCGTGGGAATAGTGTACCCAGGCTACAACTCCGTCCACTTTGAGTGCAGTGGATGTCATCATGAGGACTACAAAGGGACCCTTCCATCTCGGCTCGAGGTTTTTCCGTTGGTGTCCGCAGATGAAGACCCAATTGCCTGGCACGAACCTGTGGGGTTGTGGGGGAACAACAGCCTTGTATATGGCCCTAAGTTGTGGCCAAACTCGTTGATGGGCCTGTTGCAGTCTTTGTAGAGAGTCCAGCATATCTTGGTCATCTAAGGCCGATACCAGGTCAGTTTGGAGGCTGGGAATCATGGGGGTTGGGACTCCATACATAATTTCAAAGGGGGTCAAACCTAGTTGGTACGGAGTATTTCTCACTCTAAAAAGGGCAAAGGGGAGGAGAGCCACCCAGTCTGCGCCAGTCTCTAAGGCTAATTTGGTTAAGGTCTCTTTTAGAGTTCTATTCATTCTCTCAACCTGTCCTGAACTCTGGGGTCTATATGCACAATGTAATTTCCAATTGGCCCCCAGTGCAGTGGCTATTCCCTTGCTTACCTGAGAGACAAAAGCCGGCCCATTATCTGATCCAATTGTATTTGGGAAACCATACCTGGGTAGGATTTCTTCAATTAGCTTCTTGGCCACCACATGAGCAGTCTCATGCTTGGTTAGGTAGGCCTCAGTCCATCCAGAGAAGGTGTCTATGAATACTAGTAAATATCCAAATTTCCCTGATTTGATTTCAGTGAAATCAGTCTCCCAGTATGTACCCGGCCATGTCCCTCTGTTCCTGGACCCTAGGTTAGCAGGAGATGAGGTCACGTTGGTTAATTGGCAGGCATGACAATGCCTAACAATTTTTTCGATGGCTTGGTTTCCTTTCTGAATTTTAACTTTGGCCCTTCTTAATAAGTCTTACATTCTCCGTGTGCCCCTGTGTGAAGCTTGATGTATTCTCTTAAGCAATCTTAGGCCTAATTTCTGGGGTAGGATGACCCATCCATCTGCTGTTCTCCACCAGTCCTCTAGACATTGAGTCATAGGGAGAGTGTGTATCCAGGCTAAGTCTTCAGGGCTATAATGGGGAGTTTTGGGCAGTTCTCTCACCCCAGGGTCTACCAAAGTGGGCAGGATCTTAGAAGTCAGGGCTATTTCTTTGGCTGTTTTGTCCGTCAGATTGTTTCCTATCTGAGTGGGGGTTGTTCCTTTTTGGTAACCTCATATAGGGGTTTTGTGTCAGGTCCCAGAGGGCTTGCAGAAGGTCTAAGATCTCTTGCTTATTTTTAATAATTTTTCCCTCTGCAGTAAGAAGGCCTCTCTCCTGGTAGATGGCTCCATGGATATGGGCAGTAGCAAATGCATACCTGCTGTCTGTATAGACATTAAGCCTTTTTCCCTTGCCCATCTTTAGGGCCCAAGTAAGCGCAACCAGTTCAGCTTTTTGGGCTGATGTACCTATTGGTAATGGTTCAGCCCAGATGACTTCCGAAGTGGTTGTGACCGCTCCCCCTGCATATCTTTTACCATCTTGGACAAAGCTGCTCCCGTCCGTGTACCAAGTCTCTTGGCGTCAGGCAGGGGAATGTCCTGTAGGTCAGGCCGGATGCAGTGCACCTGAGCCAAGATCTCAGCA